GTTCATTAAGGCCAGACGAGATCTTGGAGGCCTTCCCATCCAACCATCTCATTTTAGATATGGAGAAACTGAGGCCCAGAGTAGGGACGTAATTTGCCTAAGTATAAGAGAATCAAAATTGGCATACCCATCATCCCATTTCTGTTGTAGAGCTATTGAAATCAATTCAACAAATATTTACTAAAGTGCTTGTTGGAAAGACAGATATAAAGTTGACATAAGACATGTTCCCTGCCCTTACAAATCTCACGGTTTAGGATAGAAGTTAATCAATTAATACAGAATAATACAGAGTAAGTGCATTAGAGAAACGAAGAGACGTGAACAAGTGCTATGTGAGAGCTGAGATGGTGCAGTGGACAGAGTTCCAGTCATGGAGTCAGGAGGACCTGAGTTCAAATATGGCCTCAGGCACTTGACACTTACTAGCCGTGTGACCCTGGGCAAGTCATTTAACCCTAATTGCCTCACAAAGAAAAAAGCAAAAAAAAATATCATATTCCCGTAATATTGTCCTCTGTTTTTCAGTTGTGTCTGATTTTTTATGACCCCATTTGGGATTTTCTTGGCAAAGACATTGGAGTGGTCTGCCATTTCCTTCCCAGCTCATTTTACAGATGAGGAAACTGAGGCAAACAAGGTGAAGTGCCTTGCCCAGGGTCACCCAGCTAGTAAGTGTCTGAGGCCAGATTTGAACTGGGGAAAATGAGTCTTCCTGACTCCAGCCTAGCACTCTATCCACTGCGCCACCTAGCTGCCTCACTGTCCTATTACAGCTACATATGAATTACTAGAAACAAAGTAAAATAATTAAATGTGTCACCATACAATAAAACTTACAATTTTTTTTTAATCTTAGAGAAAAAAACTTTTAAATATGCAACATATCTTCTTTTTGGGCCAGTCATTTTTTCACACATTCAGGTGTGGGTTAGGGAGGTCCTTTCCAGCTCTGAGAGCTAGTAGATTATTAGGCCCATTTTACAGATGGGGACATATAGGCTTAGCAGAGTAATAGTAGTAGTAGTAAATGTCAGAGCTAGAACTTGAACCCATATCTTTTGTCTCCAAGTTTAATGCTGTTTACTCCTTTATTTGTTGTTTTTGTTGTTCAGTCTTGTCTGACCCTTCATGACCGCAAAAGGCAAAGATACTGGAGTGGTTTGTCATTTCCTTCTTCAGCTCATTTTACACATGAGGAAACTGAGGCGAACGGAGTTAAGTGACTTGCCCAGGGTCACACAGCTAGTAAGTATCTGGGGTTAGATTTGAACTCAGGTCTTCCTGACTCCATGCTTAGCATTCTATCCACTGTGCCACCTACCTGCCCCTTAGATGCCCAGTAAGTTGAGTAAAGGGAGGCAATAATCAATTAGGTCCCAGCATCAGCTCCATTGCCTCTTGAGGGAAAACTAATCCCCATTGCAAGGAAAAGGGGGATGACGAATGGGAATCCCTGGTAGATACTGACCTTATCACCATCTTGAAGGAAAATGTGATTTTCATCAGTAAAAATTACCTTTTTACAATTCAAGACTCTGCATTGCCTTACCTATGACAAGCATTTTTTTTCTTCATAGTGACGATTAGAAGTTATTTTTATACTCACTGCTCTTCTCACTGTTCCTCCATCTTCACACAGCAGATGTAGAGCCAATAAAAGACCTTCCAGCTTGCAGATCCCTCCGAAGGTCTTGGCTTATTTTCTGAGGATTAATTGCTCCATTTTGGCAACAATACTTTGTCAGCCCTTTGTTCTGAAAAAATCCTGGATGGGGAAAGGACGTCTAAATAACAGCTTGTGTGAAAAAACTTGGAGGGGGGGAGCTGTCAGAAGATTGCATGCTCCACAATGAGTAATTTTAAGCTCCATCAGGAGAGACGGTATCCAGGAATACAGAGGTCACAGCTCCGTTGTCCTTTGCCTTGATCAGTCTATCTGGAATACCGTATTCAGTTTTAAGTACCACATTTCAGAAAGATATAAGCCAGGGACATTTTGCCTCATTTCCACTGTTTCTTTGATCTTCCTGTGGGCCCAAGACAAACAGATGTGAGTCTAGGACCATATCTGCTGTCCAGGGACAGTCCTTAAATATGCCCACTGAATACCTCACAGCTTGATGGTTGTGTTTGATGACCTCATTTGTAAGTTGTTGCTGCCAGCAACACATCAAAGCTATGGGCATTGAGCAGGGATTGATGGTGTGGGAAGAGGTCATACCAGGAGCATCTACAATCCATTGTCCCTGAGGGAAGGGATGAAAATCCCTTCTTCTCCTCCCATGGTCAGGGTGCCTCAGGGACCTGTGGACATTTCCCCTAGAACACAGTAGACAGGGGAAGCAAAGGACAAGACAGGTAGTGAGGATTCTCTCAGTTCAGGTATAAAAGCCTGCCTTCCTAATCACTCTCCTTCAGTGTTCACAAAAACTGTAGTGATCTATATGTTGTGTGTCTGAATTAATGGATGAGAAGACCATAAGAGACTTCTCTCAAGGATGGGAGGCAGAACTACCTAATTACCTTATTTTAATATATTAGTATTTCATCTCCTAGAAAGAACATTGTAAGTGGTAGTTTGCCCAAGAGAGAAAGCCACTTTTGAGCAAAACAGAAAAATTGATTTCATGTGTTTAAGTGGGCAGAACACAGGGCCTAGAATCAGGAAGACCTGAGTTCAAACATGTCTTTGGATGTGTAACTAACTGGGTAACCCTGGGAAAGTCACTTAACTTCAGTTTGCCTCAGTTTCCTCATCTATAAAATGGGAACAATAATAGTACCTACTTCCCAGAGTTGTTGTGAGGATCAAATGAGATAATTATAAAGCTCTTAGCACAGTGCCTGGTACATAATGTGCACTATTTATATTATTATTATCATTATTACCATTGTGAACAGTTCAGGCTTTCGTAGGCTTTGAGCCTTCTAGTGGCCAGAATGGATGCCTCGTGAAGGGCTGCCATTACACATGGGCAGCCTATGAGGAACGCGTAGCTTCCTTACACCTTCTGGTGGTCACCTCATATATCAGAGTTCATCCAGACCCCTTGAATGGAGTAAATACCCTATTTTACAACAAGAGCATGTCAAAAACTAACGCTCAGGGTCACAATGGAAATGAATAAAACAGAAGCACATCCAGGAGTCCAGCTGGCAGTAGCCCAGACCAGGCTCAATCATCCCCCAACTGAAGAAAATGCAGTTGTCTAGCCTGGAGACAGCTCAATGGGCACATGATTGTTTTCTTTGAATATTTTAAAAAGCAGTATGTAATTAATAGTTCACACATACAAGAGGGATGCACCTTGGTTTGGCCCCACGGCCCAGACGTAGGAGCAACAAGGTAAAACTTAGGGGAGATTTTGGCATAACTTAAGAGAAATTTTAGAAGAGCCACCCCACAGGAGTAGACCATCCCTCAGATAGTACTGAGCATCATAAGAGCCTCAAGCTGAGACCACTTTTTCAGGGATACTATTTATTTACAAGGGCAGCTGGGTAGCGCGGTGGATAGAGTGCTGGGCCTAGAGTCAGGAAGACCTCAGTTCAAATCTAGCCTCAGACACTTATTACCTGGGTGACCCTAGGCAAGTCACTTAACCCTGTTTGCCTCAGCTTCCTCATCTGTAAAATAAGCTAGAGAAGGAAATGGTAAACCACTCCAATGTCTTTGCCAAGAAAACCCAAAATGAGGTCACAAAGAATCAGACACGACTTGAAACACTAGAAACAATTCAACAACAATTATTTACAAGATTCCAGCCATAGTTTCAGAGGTCTCTTCCAGCTAAGATTCTAGACGGAGACTAAACTTCCTCTCTTTACAAATGACTTCAATCCAAGTCTTGTATGACATCAGGCAAGTATTTTCCCCTCACTGGGCCCACTTCCTCATCTTCATGACAAAGGGATTGAACTTTCAAGCAAAACAGGAAAATGAAATTAATGTGGGAAAATGGGTAAAGCACTGGGCCTGGAATCAGTGTACTAGCTGTGTGACTCTGGGTAAGTCACTTAACTTCAGTTTGCCTCAGTTTCCTCATCTATAAAATGGAGACAGTAATAGCACCTACCTTCCCGGGTTGTTGTGAGGATCAAAGAGTTGTAAAGTGGTTAGCACAGTTCCTGGCACGTAACATGCACTATATAAGCGTTAGCTTAAGTCTAATTTGTCCTTAAGGCTCCTTCTAGCTCTGATGTTCTCTGGTTCTGCCACTTATTTCTACTGCCCAGGACAGTCTCGAGGGGATTTAACCTGATTTCTAACCCTCCCCTCTGTACCAGGGAATGCTAACATGCAACCCTCAACCCATCAACTAAAGCCCCCTTTGCCAAACCCCTGCAGAACAAAGACCACAAGAAACTGCTCACTGAAAAAAAAAAAACCACATTTTATTGCAAAACACATTTGATCGCAAAAATCTTACAAACAGACCCTTGCTTTGGCAGATACAAGGGCTAATTTTCTCCCCACCCCTTCCCCCCACCCCAACTTTGAAAAAGACTCCTTTTGAGAAAATAAAGCTGTGCGGACCACGTGGGCACATGCCGCACAAAAATTCCTTCCCCTCCCGTCTCCTTGCTCTCCGGCCTGTCCTCCCACCGGCCCGGAGGGTCACAGTGCAACATTGGGGCCCCAGCCCCAGGGGGCAATGGGAGGAGGGGCCAAAAGCAGGTGTAGGTGTGGGGTGTGACAGGGTGGAAAATACTGCCTTGGGGAGTCAGAGGCCCTGAACCAGAATCCCAGCCCTGCTGCTACTGCCTCTCCCTCTCTAAGTCTCAGTAAAAATGAGAGTGTTTTACCAGATGGCTTCTAGGGTCTTTTCCAGGTGCAATGGTCCATTACCCTATGAATGCGTTTGGGAAGGGTGCTGTTCTTTGGCACTCTCTATTCTTGATACAGCAAATTACTCAGTATCTGGGTCATAGAATATGGCTTTGGGAATGTGACAAGCCATGGGGGTCTGGTCCCTGCTCATGGCTATATGGGATTTCCCTGGTGGTGGTCTCTAACACAGAAGAACCGAGGCAGCCTGGTAGAGATGAGATTTGGGTTCTAATTTGCCACTAATTCACCACGTAGTTAGTAGTAGGCAAGCCTCTTTCTGGGCCTCAGTTTCCTCATCTAGATAATGGGGGAGGTGTAGACTAGCTGGTATCTAAGGTCCCTTCCGGCTCAGAGAGAGACACAGAAATGACTATTGGTAACAGCATGCCAAGTAAGGATGGAATGGACTCTAGATGGGACAGCCAGGGGACCTGGGGAGGGGGGGAGGTCTGTGGGGGATGTTTCTCAGCCCACTTTCAGAGAACCCGGGGGCACTCCGACAAGAAGGAAGCACCAGAAGGCTCTCCCCAGGGGAATGTGAGGGGGTATCAAAACCCACCTCTCTCAGACTCCCAGCCCAAACCCCAGAGGACCTATCATCCACCCACCCCCCCTCAGCAGCACGCCCCTAATATCCGGAGGGACGGTCCAGGGCACTGGAAAAACCAGCCCCCTTTCCTGAAACTCCAGGGAACAGTGGAGAGGTGAGGTCCACCACCTGAATCTAGAGGCCCCTGCCTTGATACTACCACCACTGCTGAGCCTCAGTCCTAGCCTTGGCCCTGACCCAGCCCCAGCTGGCCAAAATAGCACCCGTTGAGTTCTGCCCCCCCATCTGCCCCCCCCTTCCCTACCCCCGTTCAAGGGCCTTAAAGCTCATCACGCATCTTGTCACCCTTGGGCCGGACCAGGCGGCCAATGAAGAGCAGGGAGCCGCTCTGGGCATCCTTGACTAGGAAGATGAAGGGATGGTCAGCATAGAAGAGCTTGGGACTCCGCAGCTCCTCACGCCCGTAGATGTCCTGGTCAAAGGGATTGCCATCTGTGTCCCACTCAAAGGCTGTGGCATGGAAGACACTCGCCAGGTACAGGTCTTTCTTGCCCGACATTCTAGACAGGTCTGCCTTGTTCTTGTCAATGGCCTCCGTCAGGCCCAGGCCGGCCAGATGTTTCTGTAATAAGGATGATGACCAGTTAGGGATATGGTCTTAATCTGGGGTCGATGAACTTATTCTTTTAATATTTTATTAACTATATATCAATATAATTGGTTTCCTTTCTAATTCCAATATACCTTATTTTATACATTTAAAAAGATGGTTCTGAGATGTCTAAGAAGTCTTCACCAGATGGCTGCCAATGGGTCCTTATCACAAAAGAGGTTAGGAACCTCTGAGTTAGGGGCCTGAGCAGTAGAGTATAAAGAGCCTCAGCATCTAGTTGGAAGGATCAGGGTTCAAATCCTGCTTCTGACATTTAACTACCTGTGTGATTCCAGGCCACCTCTCTACAGTTCAGTCTCCTTCTCTATAAAATAAGGATCTTCTACCAGGCTGCCTGCCTGCACAGGACCATTTTAAGAAGAGTACTTAGAAAGCCTTAGGTCACTACAGAAAAGGGAGTTTTCAGGGAGAGGCAGCTATGGTATAATTAAAAAAAAAAAGCAATGCCCACTCAGAGACCTGGTTCCACCTGGATCTCATGACCTAGATCAGAGGGGTCAAACACATGGCCCACAACATTCCCAAGGGCAAATCAGACCAGATTTAAATATTTTGGAAATATTCAACCAAATAAATGAATTAATAAAAACTATAAATATATAATAATATAATATACACTAAACATATAAATATATGTTTTCAAAGTTAGCACACAGCCTGCAGGGATCTTTACATATGTCTGGGGGCTCCTGCTTCTATTCATTTGACATCATTGAACTAGATTATCTGAGGCTCCTTGAGTGGGAGGTTGGGGGAGGGGAAAAACAAGCATTTATGAAGCGTCTACCATGACCTACCACGTGCCTGGCACTGTGCTAAGCACTTTACAAATAAGATCTCATTTGATCTTCACAACAACTCTGCAAAGTTATCTGAGGCCGGATTTGAACTCAGGAAAATGAGTCTCTAGGACTCTAGGCCTAGAGCTCCGTGCACTATGGAGCCACCTACCTGTCCTGAAATGTTAGCAAACATCAGGCACCTGCCAGTCACTGGGGATACAAAGACAAAAACCACAACAATCCCTGGCTTCAAGGAACTCTTCTTCTACTGAGAAGAGGGGAAAGAGGGGCTTCATGCTTGGGGTAAAGAACTGAACTAGAGGGGCAGCTAGGTGGCTCCGGCCTTGGAGTCAGGAGGACCTGAGTTCAAATCCAGTCTCAGACCAGACACTTGACACTTGCTAGCTGTGTGACCCTGGGCAAGTCACTTAACTCCAATTGCCTCGCAAAAAAAAAAAAGGGCTAGACCAAGGGTGGGGAACCTGCGGCCTCTAGGCCACATGTGGTCTTTTGACCGAGTCTAAGGTTTATAGAACAAATCCTTTTATTAAGGGGATTTGTTCTGTGAAGGTTGGATTCAGTCAAAGGATTGCGCTTGAGGATCTAGAGGGCCAAACGTGGCATCAAGGCCACAGATTCCCCACCCCTGGACGAGATGGTCTGAGAACCTTTCCAGCTCTGACATTCTGACAATTATTGAGAAGATTAATAAGTTCACTTTCCTCAAAGGAAAAAAACAAAGGTCTGCCATCTACCAAATAAGCCTTAGCAGCACTGTGGGGTAAGAAAGAACTGGAAATCAAATGGTTCCCCATCCACCGAGTCCAGGCTGGAAAAACTTGGGTAGATGAATGTCATGGATTGCTAATGTGTGGCACAAAAACCCAAACAAACCTGATAACTAGATTTGGGGGAATTGGAAGAAATATATAAAGAGTTGTGTGAACAGATACTGAGCAAAATAAGCAGAACCCACAGAACCATGTATAAAATGCCTGCAACAACTACAATGAGATCCTTAGAAGGAACTCTGAATAGTGGAAAAACCAATGAAAAGTCCCAGAAAGGAGATAATGAAACATGCCCCCTCCTTCTCAGCAGAGAGGTGGAGGACTACTGGAACAGAACATTGCACAGTCACATTTAGAATACGGGCTAGATACGGTTGCCTCATTGTCTTCATTTGTCACAAGATTCACTCTGGAGGGGGTAGGAGTGAAATGATTGTGATGTACACATAGAAGGATCATTAATACATATTTTTGGTGAGCTCACTTCCACACATGTATGTTCACCTGTATTTATGCCATCCAATCTGCCTGGCAAAAATCCTACATGGCCCCCCAGATCCAGATCAAAACTCAAGCTTCCTTCCTGGAAGCCTTTATAGCTACTCCCAAGTCAACAAAAGGCCCGTTCAGCAGGACCACAGTGGGGCTGCGTCTTTGGGGGAAAAAGAGAATGGCGAGCTTAATGGGCTATAAGAGCATTTTTGAATGTTTGTATTGGGTTCATATGTGCATAAGATGCATTTCCTGGTGACAGAGCATGTTCCTCCATCTGCCTCCTCAAGTGGACTGAGAGCTTCCCAGGCGGCCCACTGGTTTCCCTCCACCAGGACACAGCCAAGGTGTTGTCTCCCCCGCCAGAATGTAAGCCCCTTGAGGGCAGGAACGGTTTTTAGCCTTTCTTTGTATCCCCATGCTTGGCACAGTGCCTGGCACACAGTAAGTGTTTAATAAATGCATGATGATGATGATGATGATGATGATGATGATGATGATGACGACAACAGGGCACTATAAAGGACTGCATGTGGCAGATCTCTAAAGCAGAACAAGGGATTAACAAAGGTCACAATATCCTGGAGAGACAGAGCCGAAAGGAACCCTAATCACGGTTCACATTCCTAGAGACCCTGAAAGGTCTGAAGTACCTTCCTTTACAGAGACAAGCAGTGAAATAATACTATCCTGCTTTTACAGAGGGAGAAACTGAGGCCCAGAGAGACAAGATGACTTGCACCCAAAGTCATATAACTTGTAAGCGAGGTGGAGTTTGAACCCCAATTTACTGACTCATGGCCCAGTACTATTACAGCTTCCTATATGGAAAGGAAACTTCAAAGACAGGCTGTCAAAACTGGAAAAACACTAACTACCACCACCAAACCAATATTAAAGACCAGGTTAGTGAACTGTTGCTCACAATAGGGAGGGTCAGACACCAAACATTCCCAAGTCCACACTGCAGAACCAGGACTGGATGTGATCTGACTCATAGCTCTAAGGTGCTCACTGCCAAGCTGGAAGGTTAGAAAACAGGACCAGAGACAAAAGTACCCAGAGACTTCCTTGATCCAGTTCCAAAAAGGAAGGACCTCCCACCTCAGGAAGCTTACAGGACTCAGGGAGACTTGGGCCCAGGGCGCGATGCCCAAGCACTGAAAGGCTTCCCTGACCAATCCTTCCCACTTTCTGCCCCCCTACCCCTGCCCCTTAGCTCAGGGCTCCCTCCAGCTGAATCTGCTCCTTACCTGGAGGTCATGGGTCACCTCCACGACTCCCTTGGGCAGGGAGATGGCCACAGCCCTCTTCTTCATCTTGCCCAGCCAGGTCTTAAGCTGCTCCTTGGTCAGGAGCTTTTCCAACCTTTCCAGGGGCTCCACATGGTGGGGCATAATGATAATGAGGCTTGAGAGTTTATGGGCCAAGGGCATCTCAACCATTTGGAGTTTTTCTGTCTCATCATCATAGTAGTTGTAGAGACCTGGATGGCACAGGACATGGGCTAAGGAGACTGGACAGACTGGGAGTTCAAGGCCAAGGCCAAGGCCTAGCGCCCCTCCTTTTCCCTCCCCTCCCCACTCCACCCTCACCACACTCCCCAGCTAGGCACCAACCTACCTGTGCGGTGCATCATGGGCACGCCTACTGTGTAGGAGCGGGTCACCATGAAACCTCGATTGTCAACCATCTTATGGTGGAATTTCTCATCCCAGTGGGCTGCAGAAAGGCGGGAGGGAAGTGAGCCATGCCTCAAACCTCAAACACTGCCTTTCCTATCATACCTTAAGATCACAAGCTTTGCTTTAGGACTAGCTACCTTAAAGATCACCCGGTCCAACCCACAGTTAGGCAGAGGAAACTATGGCCCAGGTCAGGGAAGGGACTGACCTAAGGTCACACAGTGAGTCAGAAGCAGAGCACTTAATATGTACTCCATGTTTACCTCTTATTCACCTATAAGGGGAGAACTTTATCTTAGTAAGCAAAATTCACATATTCCCCAGTAGCCAGCGTAATGTTCTGTATATAGTAGGTGCAACATAATTGCTTTAGGAAGCAGCTAGGTAAGCACAGTGTTGGATCAGGAGTTAGGAAGACTGGAATTCTGCCTCAGACACTCTCTAGCTGTATGACCCTAGGCACGTCCCTTCACCACTTTCTGCCTCAGTGTCCTCATTTGTAAAATGTAGATAATAGCACCTACCCTCCAAAGGTTGTTTTAAGGATCAAATTAAATAAACAATTGCTTTTCAAACCTTAAGGCACTCTATAAATGCTGTTTGTTGAACGAATCAGAGTGAGCCAGGATAGAACCAGGTCTCCTGACCCCTCCTATCCACCTTCCAGGTGACAGTCTATACCCCAAGATCCCTTCTGGCTACAACCCCCTGTGTCCTGAGGTCCCTCCCAGCCACCCTGCTCACGCTTGAAAACATGGCGTTGACGATGAGGGCACCATCGGTCTTCTCCACGTCCTCGGTGACCGCGGGCAGCTTGCCGTCCGTCGTCTGCGAAGCCCACTCGTTGATGGACTGCAGGGCGCTCCGCTTGTCTCGGAAGTTGATCTTGGAGTGCTCGTAATTGTAGTGTTTCCTGCTGCTCTGAACGAAGTCATCGGCAAAGCTGACTGAGCTGGGCCCGTAGAGGCGGTTGCCCAGCTTCCATGTCACGTTGCGGGCCGTGGAGTTGCTGACGGATGCGAGCAGCTCAGCCAGGCCGGCGTGCACATCATCGTCACGGAGCTTGTCGGCACTCAGCACCGCCTTGGCCTGAGAAGCTGTGGCGCCTTCCCGCCCAGAGACACCAGTCCCAGGGACGAAGCCACGACCACGGGGGACAGCAAGATGTTCTCCACCCCCTTGTCCTGGGCCATGGCACGGTAGAGGTTGAAGGCCAGGTTGGCACTCCGCTCAGCCAACGTGGTCGCCTTCTCACTCAGCTTTGCCTCCCCTGCCTTCCCCGCCGCTGGCTTCTTGACTTCAGCCGCCCTGGCCGCTGCCAGGAGGCAGAGGGTGCTGATGAGCTGGGTGGCCCACATGGCTGTTGGAGGACTAAGGCCCTGGGCTAGCCGCTACGAACCTGTGGGTGAGAAACAGAGAGGGAACAGGGTGAAAGAGGGCTTTGCTTCCTTCAACACATTCACCTCGACATCTAGCAAGCAGCTGAGCGCTAATACCAATATGGAAGCTTCCTTCCTCCCTGTCTGTGGCATGAGTTTTCTTCACCACCAGCCAATCAAGCAAGCAGCCATCCTACAAAGGATCACAATCACCACATTACAAGCGCCTCAGAGTAGGAGCTGCCATTTGCTTTTCTTGCTATCCTCAACCTTAGCAAAGTACCAGGCACATGGTAGGTAAATGTTTATTGGACGACATAGTAGGTGCTTAATAAATGCTTACTGACTGACAAATGAGGAGCTAAGACTTGAAAAGGGAAGGTCACACAGCCTGGTCTTCTGACTCCAAACTTTACCCTCTTTCTGCTACCTCAAGATCTTCACAAATATTTTACAATCTTTTAGGGGTGTGATGGGAGAAGAAAGGAATAGGCATTTATATGGTGCTAAGCACTTTCCATATATTATCTCATTTGATCCTGTTACTATCCCTACAAGGAAACTTAGGGAGGTTAAGTGACTTGCCCAGGGTCACACAGCTTTAAGTGTCTGAGGCCAGATTTGAATCTTCCTTACTCCAGGCTTAGCACTCTATCCACTTTGCCACCTGACCTATGCCATAATTTGATGTGCCCGTGAGCCAGGACCAATGGCTGATGATTTTATACAAGCTAACCACCATTATCCCATGGCGGGATGGCCTAAGAGGCAAAAGGTAGTGTCTAGTATATAGTAGGAGCTTAATAAATGAATGGAATTGGAAAAACTGGAGGAAAGTCATTTATTTGGAAAATATGTTGTTTTTCATTCATGCCACATTGATGCTCCATGTCACCCAATTACCTGGCAGGCTAGGTACAAATGAAAAGCAATATGGTAGAATAACAATGATGATAACAATAGTAATAATAATAATGATAGTTAACATGTATATCACTAGGCACTATGCTAAGCAATTTACAATGTGATAATCATCCCATTGTACTGTGGTAGAATACAAAGAGTATTCGTCAAAGGGCCTGGTGCTGGAATCCCCATGACAGGCAAGTCACTTTCCCTTTCATTTCTGGGTAAAAGAAATAATAATAAAATAATAATAGACCCTAAAGGTCCCTTCCAGCTCTAAAACTTATGGGCTAATGTCACAGGAAAAATTCTTGCTGCGGTACAGGAGTTAAAATAGACTTCTGCTGGCCCTTACAGGTCTGAGACTACATGGAGTTCAAGTCTTACCTTTAGGACGCTAACCCTAAGTAAGCACTAGGCCCCAGTTGGCCCACTATATGGGAAGTACATGGTGCCAACCAACCGACCAGCTGCTCCCTGGGGACAGACAAAAAGTCTCCTTGGCCTTCACAGTAGAGAGTGATTTAATCAGGGACCTTTCTCTGGGTGGAATGCAGCCAGTCTTGTACGCAGAGTGAGCAAAATGCACAGCTTGCATTTCACTGGTAGGGGGTGGAGAGGTGGGTAAGAGCCTTTAAAATTAGGCTGGAAAAACGATTGCAGCCACCACCACTTCACCACACTCAATCCTACCCCCAGCCTGGGGCCCAGGGATCATTCTTCACATACCACTGGGGGTCAGGCAGAGGGAGGTTAATGAGTCACCCACTAGTTCACTGATTAAATAAGGCAGACTGGCCTGGGAGGAGAGACAGAAGATCTGTGCTTCTCTCCCTGCTCAGCTAAGAACTCACTGGGTGAGCCTGAGCAAAAACCCTTCTCCTCCTGAGGCTCCTTTTTCTAGGTGTGTTGGAACTAGATAATCTCTAAGGAGCCTTTCTGGTCCCTGCTTTTCTCATCTTCTTCCAGGCCTGAGAGCTAACATTTTCTTTTCACACAAAGGCCCCACAAGCAAATAGGCCGATCTCTGCCGGTGGAAGGGAAAGGAAGGGCTTCCTCTGAGATCATGGGCAGGATGCAGAAAACCCTGGGGCTTCCCTAAGAGCCTTCCCCCTTCAATCTCTCTTCTCAGGGAAGCCCAGCTGAGCTCAGATACCAGCCTACTCCCCACTCATCTCCAGGCCCCATCCCTGTCCATGCCCCAGACAGTGGAGCTTGGGAACCTTCCTGATAGACTGTGACCAGAGACAGGAGCTGTCAGATAGATCATTTCCAAATCACTCCCCCTTCTCTAATCTCAGCTTTACTCTTCCCTGATTCATTGCTGCATGAGTTGGTCCAAGGCCACAACAATTTCAGGCAGAAATTCCTCAACTGGAAAAGGAATTGTTTTGAAGTCCATCCAGAACTGACATTCTGATTAAAGGATTCAGGTCTTAAGAGATGGGAGGTAGGGGGAGGGGGATGGAAAATCAGTCAAGAAGCATGGATTTCATGTTAAGGGTCATTGTGGGAGACCAAGAAAGAAATTTAGGATACTGGAAGGGAGAAAGCACCTATTGGTTCACCAGATCATTTTGCAGAATAACACATTTATGTGCCACTTGCATGGGGGGAAAAAAACGGTGTCTGATGGAAACTGGGAAGGTAGGGTGCTCTGGGGGAAAAGTGGGCTGGATTTGGAGTAAGAAGTCCTGGGTTCAAATCCTAGCTCTGCTACTTACTGCCTTGGCAGAGTAGCAAGTCACTCAGCCTCTCTGGGCCTCAGTTTCCTCATTTGTCAAATGAAGGAGTGGGCCTACATGACCTCTAAGGCCCTTTCCAGTTCCAAATCGGTGATCTATCAACTAGGGGAAATAGAGCTTTGGGCACTTGGTATTGCTGGGATGGGAGAAGTGAGAAGGAGCAAAGCTGAGCTATTTATAGGAAGAAAGACTCCTCTACCGATACTTACAAGTGTGTAAGTCCCTTAACTCAGTTTCCTCAACTGTAAAATGGGGGTAATAACAGAACCTATCTCTCAGAAGCTGTAAGGATTTAATAAGATAATAACTGTGAAGTGCTTAGCATGGTGCTTGGCACAGAGCAGGCACTTAATAGCTGTTTTCTCCTTCCTTCCTCTCTTCACAGACATAAGTCACAACTATGAAAAGACTGAAGAGAGTTCAGGGCTATACAAATTTAAGACCTCATGACTAATTCAACAGGATTAAATGCCCAATGAGGATGTAGTTGCGTTCCTTCTGTTTCATCCCCAGAAAGCTGATCCCTCTGGGCCCAAACAAGGATGGGTACCAGTCAGTCAAAGCCTCCTCTCTACTCTGGGGAGATAAAGTCAGTATTCTGAATGCTTGGGATGGAGCAAAAGCCCTTGGCTTGATCAGACAAAGAGAAAGAGGGGCACCTGGAATGAATCAGACCTCCAAGGGCCAAAGGATTTCACTTGTATTTTAGCTAACAAGCCTAGGAACCACCAACCTCCGCCCCCATTCCCCAACCCTGCCACGTAGGCAGCTCAGATCACTACGCCCAACCATCCCACAACCTCAAATGACAGGAGGTCGATTTTTCATGTGTGAGCTTCAAATGATAGGCCTGAAGCCTCCCCATCCCAGCCAGCTGCCTGCCCTCAGGGATGGAGGGGAGGAGGAGAGGGTGGTGTGTGGAGAGAGATGACGTGGCAAGGAGGAAGACTGAATTCCTGAGATTCTCCACCAGGGGCTGCCGTGGCAGAGCTGGGGGAAGGGAGCTTGTGGTGGGATTCAGGGAGGGAAGAGACAGACTTCTAGGCATCCAGGGATACAGCCATAGGCCCAAGCCACAGATTTGGAATGAGGAGCCACAGACTCAGCCCCTAGGTCTCATTTCCTTGCTCTAGGCCTGTTGTTTTTTTCACCACAGCAAAAATAAGTGGGTTGGACTATATCATATATCAGTTCTTGACCTGGGATCCATAAAACTGTTGTTAAGGTATTTTGACAACTATATTTCAGTATAATTGTTCTCCTCTGTCATCATCTGCATTTTGTTTCATGCATTTAAAAACATGACTCTGAGAAGGTATTCATAGGCCTGCTCAGACTGCCCGAAGGGCCCATGAGACAAAAAAGGTTAAGGAGCCCTGAGATGAGATGAGATCTAAGACCCCTTCCAGCATCCACATTCTAGGATTCTATGAAACAAACTCAAAAGCAGAGGAGTGGGGGTTTGGGTGGTAGAGGGAAAGTGGAAGAAAGACAGGTGGAAAGAAGCCAGTACCCCCCTCTCCGCTGCTGCTAGAGACAGAGAAAACAGCTGCCCTCCACACATGTCTCCACAAGCAGACCAAGGCTTGCTTCCCGGGCCAATCACCCAGCTGCAGAACGAGGTAATTTATAGCTCACAGGCTCTCTTCCCTATAGGGAAGAAAAAAACCAGTTTGAAAAAACAAGCCCATGCTTTGCAGACAGGCCTGGGTTTCATCCTGACCTGTAACTGGGCCTTGGGAAGCAAAAGAGGTAGGGGTGGGGGAGGGAAGAGGAAAGGGGCCCTGCCAGGGAGATATTCAACTTTCAGTGATCAGCAGGGCCAGGAAAAAGAGGAGGAGAGGAAGAGGCAGGGCACAGAAGAGAATTCAGACATTTGGAAAAAGTCAATTTCAATCAGAGGCCAAGATACCTTGAAAACTCTCTCAGAGGGAGGTCAGTGCTTGCTTTTTTCATTCTGAAAGAAAACAGACACATGAGGTAGAGCAGTTCACAGGATCTCGGGATGCTGGAGCTGGAAGGGCCCTTGGAAATCATCAAGCCCAACCCCTTTGTCTGGCAGATAAGGAAATTGGTCCTGAGACTGGTAAAGTTATTTGCTCAACATCTAACAGGTAATAAGAGAGGTGTGATTTGAACCCAGGTCCTCTGCTTTAAGATTTCTATTGGGAGGCAAGAAAATGTATGTATCTATCCCTTCCAACAATGAAGCCCCAACCCTTGTTTGTTTGTTCAAGTTGTTTAGTATGGTTTTGGGGGGAAGTGGTTTTTTTTCCCTTTCTTTCTTTCTTTCTTTTTAAGGAAGAGAGATTAAAGGAGGAAAAGGCTACTGGGGGGAAGGCAATCTAACTTCTGATACTATTCCCTCTCCAGATAAACGAATAGAAAGCAACCACAAAGCATGAAGGCAGGGTGAAGACCAAAAGTAGCCCTATTTTGGCAGGACCAGCTGAACAAAGGCCTAGCCAGAATCTCCCAGGGACCCAGGAGGGACCTTGGAAAGGGAGAGATGGGAGGGATGACTCCAGGCTGGGTGGAGCCAGAGGTGCAGAGGCACAGCTGAGCAGTCTGAACCTCCCCTCCCCCTTCCCCAATTTCCTCTCTAGCTCCTAACCAGAATCAGGACCACAGAAATAATAAAGGGGAAGGGACTCAGGAATCTAATCTCCAGCCCCTCTCTATTATCCTGGGTGTCCCTCAGATAATACAATGGCAGGGAGTCAAGAGACCTAGTTTCTAATCCCCATTTCATCCACCCTGAGGACCATGTGTGATATAGAGCAAATCAGTTCCTAGGGCCTCAGTTTCCCTCTTCATCAAACAGGGATAAAATACCTGCCCTGCCTACTCTACAGGGCTATTACAGGATGGGAAAAATAGTACCCCATTTTAATGACACGTTTAAGGTTTGCAAAAGATTTTACTACAGCACCCCGTAAAATAGGTAAAGCTGGGAGCAGTATCCCCATTAGACAGATGAAGAAATTGACACCCAAAGAAGTTTGATTTGCCCAGGAGCAGAGACTGACTCCAATCAGGCTTTCCTAACTCTGGGTCCTGACGTTTCCACTAAATCATGCTAATAATTGATGTAAAAACACTATTTTTGTTTAAAATGAGGGGTGGGGGCAATAAACAGAAAGGGACTGCTCTTCTCCTCAGTTTTAAGTAGCTAGTTTCTAAATTCTTTTATGCCCAGTCTTTCATAGGGATTCAGCTTCGGTAGGAAGGGAAAAGGGAAGGGACAGAGGTAGGAAAAGAAGATGGATCTGGGAAAGCCCCCTTCCTACAGCTTCCAGTATCTGCATAGCAGCTGCTATGAACTAAGTGATGCCCACAGCTCCCCAACAACCAGCCCCTAAGTTTCAAGAGAGATCCCACCCTTCTCCAGAAAAGCCCACTAAGGAAATGGAGGGCAGGAAGAATCAGATCCAGAAGCCCCCGAAGACAGGGAAACAGTCATCCGTGATAACATGCCCTATCCCTCTTGATTCCTGTAGATTAGGGGGTATCCTAAAAATAGGATTCTCCTATAGGTGGGGGGGTCTTCTCCCCTGTGTAGCATCCACCCTTAGGCGCGCGCGCGCGCACACACACACACACACACACACACACACACACACACACAAACCCCCCCTCCCCCCGCTGAACTCCCCTCTCTCTGGGAGCTGCTCCCTCTCTCCACACCCCCCAAGACAGGAAGGGATCTCAGGCCAGACGCTTCGGGGAAGCAAAGGAGAGTAGGGCGGTTCCAAACTCGGACAAGAGAGTCCCCAAAGACGTTTGGATTCAGGAGATGGGGGGGCGGGCAAGCTCCGTGCCCAGACCCACCATCTTTCTTCCTACCATTTGGATCCCCCTCCCCGTGGGCTTCTCCAGACCCCAGCTCCGGCCGTCTCTCTCCCCAACCCTCTAGCTAGCAGAAGCCCCTCCGACCCGGCCCGAACTCCCCCAGACGCTGTCTCCCGCTAGCTGGCACCGGGTCCTCCCCAGCCCGCGTCCCAAACCCTGCCAAAGGTGCCTGGACCCCGGGGAAAGACCGGGACCAACGCCAACGTTCGAATCCTCTCTCTGCAAGCTGCCGGGAGCCGGGAAGAGGGGCTCGGGGCAGGGGGATCATCGGGAGATCATCGAGGGGTGGGAAGGTCCCGCTCGGTGCCCGAGGAGGCTCGGCCTCTCTCTCCTAGCCACCCTCTCCCTCCTTGTCTGTTCCCCGGCTCCCCTCACCTGGACTTAGAGGGGCACAGATGAGGAGCCCTCCCCCCGCGCCTCTCAGGGCTGGGATCCGCTCAGCTCCGTCCCGGGACTGTCTCTCCGAGCGCACAGCCCCCGCGCCAGCCCTATATAAGAGGCCCCCGCCCCGGGCCGCAGAAACTTCTGGAAAGTTGGAAAAGCTCTTGGGATGGGGCGAGGGGGGGGACTCAAAGGGGGCGGCCCCCGACTAGGTCGCAAAAGAAAAAAAAGCCCTCCCCTTCGCTTGTCCCGCTCCCCCCACTCCTTCCCCCCATCCCCCCACTTCTCTTGGTCTTCCAGAGCCCCTGGGTCCTACTGCCCCTCAAATCAGGAGGAGTGGCTTGGACCGGATCCCCTACCCCCATCCCCTCTTATTCCTGAAACGTTAGCTAGGAAAGGGACTTCAGAGAACCTCTAGTCCATGGCTTTTCATTTCCTAGGGGCCCAAAGAGAGCGACAAGGTCACAGAATGGAGAGTCAAGATTAGAACCCAGATCTCCTGACTCTCAGGCTTGGATTCCACATCACGATAATTCTTCCCATTTGTTCTTTCCAAGGCCCAGTCCTTGATTTTATCCCGGGGAAGAAGGCAGGATTCAATCCATACCTGAAAATGTTTACCAAGCACCTACACAATTGACTAATTTCGTAGAATTACCTCGATGGAAGAGACTTCAGAAACCGTTAAATCCATGCAAAATGGGGAAACAAGGTGTCTGAGGGATTGTGACTCCTATGATTACACAAGCATGTATGCAGTGGGGGGATTTGAACCCACATCCTCTAACTTGAAATCAAGAATAATCTTCTTTTCTGTTTCTTTTTTTCTCTGTCCCTCCTTGCTTAATGCACGAGGGAGCCCTATCCTGTCACTGCCCCGTTTTGAGTCTGTCCTCAGGATTTAAGAATGTGGGAGGAGCAGATAAGACAGGAAAGAGATCTTTTACCATATCAGCCAGACAATCAACAAGCCTTTATTAATCATCTGAGTTCAAATTTGGCCTCTGACAGCTAACTGGTTGTGCGATCCTGGGCAAATCACTTAACTTTGTTTGCCTCCGTTTCCTCATCTGTAAAATGAACTGGAGAAGGAAATAGCAAACCACTCCAGTATTTCTGCCAAGAAAACCCCAAATGGGGTCATGAAGAGTAGAACATAACTGAAGTGACTGAACAAATATACCAAGCACTGAACCAAGTGCTGAAGAGACAAAGAAAGGTAAAAAAAAAAATGATCCTGCTCATGAAGTCTCACTGGGGAGACAACTTGCAAAGAACTATGGACAAACAAGCTATATGCAGGATAAATTGGAACTGATCCTGGAGGGAAGCATCTAAGATAAAGGAAGACTGGGAAAGGCTTCAGGCTTCTGGCAGAAGGTGGAACTTTAATTTTTTTTTTTGGTAGGCAATTGGGGTTAAGTGACTTGCCCAGGGTCACACAGCTAGTGTCAAGTGTTTGGTTTAAGGCTGGATTTGAACTCAGGTCCTCCTGACTTCAGAGCCACCTAGCTGCCCTGAGAAGGTGGAACTTCAGCTGAGACTTGAAGGACTCGGGGAAGCAGGGAAGTGGTTCCAGACATGAGGGACAGGCAATGAAAATGTGTGGAATCAGAAGATGGTGTGTCTTGTTTGAGGAACCTCAGGAAGAGTGTCACTGGATCACAGTACATGGAAGGAAGTGAGGTATAAGACTGGAAAGGTAGGAAGGAGCCAGGGTATGGAGGGCTTTAAAAGCCCAATGGAGGATTTTATATTGATTCTGGGGGTCACAGAGAGCCACTGGAGTTTATTGAATAAGGAGATTACTTGGTCCAGGTGATAGACCTGCATGGACCGCATTGGGGCGATAATTGTGGCAGGCAGACCAATTATAGTCTAGCTTGAGGTGGTGAGAGCATGTCCCATTGTCTTTGTAGTGTCAAAGAAGAGAAGGGGGCAACAAGAAAGGGGGCTAAGGTTGAAAAGACAGGTCTTGGCAACAATATAAGGCAGAAGAAACTGTTGCAGTGGAAATAGCCTGGATTTTCAGCAAACTTGTAACCTTGGCCAAGTCACTTGGTCTCTATAAATTTCAATTCTTCATCTGTATCATGAGATTAGATTAAATACCATCCAAATCCCTTCTAGCTCTAAATCTATGATCAAAAGATAGGGACTTGGGGCAGCTAGGTGGTGCAGCTGATAGAGCATGGGCCCTGAAGTCAGGAGGGCCTGAGTTCAAATCCGGCCTCAGACCAAACACTTGACACTTATCAGCTGTGTGACCCTGGGCAAGTCACTTAACCCCAACTGCCTAGAAAAAAAAAGAGAGGGACTTGGGGCAGCTGGTGGCCCAGTGGATAGAGCAGTGACTCTGAAGTCAGAAGGACCTGAGTTCAAATGTGGCCTCAGACATTTACTAGCTGTGTGACCCTGGGTGAGTCATTTAACCCTGATTGCTTCCTCCCCCTAAAAAAAAATACAAAAGAGAGGGACTCATAACAAGACTGATAAGGGCTCAGAAAAATAAAAAATCATAATAGACTGGAATTATCAAGGAAAGCCTAGTATTGAATGTCCTGTCTTTGCTGTTATCAGTCTTCCCCTGAGTTCTGCCCGTTCAAGCCTATTTATCTGCCCCACCACATCAAGCCCTCTATCTATAGGTCCACACAACACTTAACTCAGATTTCCTAACCCAAGCCTCCAGTCCCCAGCAATGCCTCCCCACACCACCCCAGATTTCCTTCCCCTCCTTCCCTCTATTTCTCCAAGCTCTTTTCTTCTGAAGCTCCAGGGTTAGTGAAATTTCACTTGATTAAAGTTTCTATGTTCCAGCCAAACTAACTCCCTAGCCATTCCCCATACTCTATCTTCTACCTCCATGACTTTGCACAGGCTGTCCCCTATGCCTAAATGCTCTCCCTCCTTATACTGGCATTAGAATCCTTAGAATCCTTCACTGGGGCTTTAAGGCTCACCAAATGTTAGCATTTTCTCCCCACCCCACCCCCATTATTTTGCATATACTTTGCATGTAATTATCTGTTCACTGTGGTATACTGATCCTTGAGGCTTGGGACAGTTTTTTGTCTTTGCCATCCCCAGTGGCCCAGCATCTGTCTGGAATATAGAAAGAGCATTCATCATCATCATCATCATCATCATCATCATCATCGTCATCATCATGACCACCACCATCCAGAGTGGATATGGTACTTTGTTTGCAAAAGCAAAGCACTTTACATATGTTACCTCATTTGATCTTTACAAGCCTATGAGATACTTCTCAGAAACCCTATATAATATAATATTAACCTTAAGGGAGGGAACATTCTTCCAGCTTTCCTCCTCTACCAAATAAATTTATTTCTAAAACTTAAAAAAAAATCCTATGAGTTAGATGCAATTATTATCCTAGGGGCCAGCAAGGTGGCTGAGTGCAAGGGAAGGGGGGTAGGGAAGGGAGGGAGGGAGAAAAATGTGGAACCCCAAATCTTACAAAATGAATGTTGAAAACTATCTTTACACACAATTGTAAAAAATAAAATACTATTAAGAAAAAATAAAGCAGCGTGTTATTTCTCCCCCCTTCCCCCAGCTCGGCAACATCGGCAAGCATGCCCTTTATCCAAATCATTGATGCCAGTTTTAAACAGCACAGAGCCAAGCTTGGACCTTTGGCACACTTCCCTAGAGATCTCTCCAAGGTGGACATAAACCATTTGGATCTGGCCTTTCCGCTAGTTTCTAAACCATCTCACTGTTCCAGCCCATGTCTCTCCTTCTTATCTATAACAATAGCGTAATAAGTTTTGTGAAATGATTTGCTAAGATCTAAGTAAAGTATAGCTACAGTATTTCCAGTCCAGTAAATCTTATCAAAAAATAAAATCAGGGTGGCGTGGCATGATTTGTCCTTGATGATGCCATCTGGCTTTTTTTGATCACTGTTCACTTTTTTTTAAGGTTATTAAGGTTTTACAGTTAAGGTTTAAGTCAGTCAACAAGCATTGATTAAACGTTTATTATGTGCCAGGCATTGTGATAAGTGCTGGAAATACCCCCCCCCAAAAAAAAAGGAAAAGAAAAAGAAAGAGAGAGAGAGAGAGAGAGAGAGAGAGAGAGAGAGAGAGAGAGAGAGAGAGAGAGAGAGAGAGAGAGAAAGAAAGAAAGAAAGAAAGAAAGAAAGAAAGAAAGAAAGAAAGAAAGAAAGAAAGAAAGAAAGAAAGAAAGAAAGAAAGAAAGAAAAGAAAAGAAAAGACAGTCCCTGGCCTCTAGGAGCTTATGTTCTAATAGGGAAGACAACACATAAAAGAAGCTGATGAGTGGGAAGTAGAGGAAAGGAACTTGTCATGGGGCAAGCAGGGAGAAGGAAGTCCAGAGTCAAGAGTAGAGACTTGGAATAAAGAGCCAATATGGTTAGCCTGGTGGACCTTTCTAAAAGCAGAGGATCCAGGAGGAAATACCAATCAGAGGGAAGGGTTACAGTAGCAGAGGACTCTTCCAGGGTGAGATGTTCACCAACTGCCTAGAAAATTGCCAGGAATCAAAGTCAATTTCACTGACCTGCATTTTGCAGACTTCATTCTCTTCTCTGACTTGAAAATCAGATTATTTCCTTTTCTTTGTAAATCAATCAGTTGATCAACATGCACTAACGAGTTCCAGGAGCTAGGCTAGGTCCTAGGGATACAGAATGGCCAAAATTATCCCTGCCCTCAAGGGGTTCCCATTCTAATGGGGGTAAGCATGTATATAAAAAAATATATACGAGATTCTTTCAATGTAGGTGGAAAGTAACTTTACTGGGAAGGGCTGTGGCAGCTAGGGGAGGGTAGGAGACCAGGACAGGCCTCCTGCCTTTAACCCAAGTCTTGAAGGGACTGTCTTTTCTTTCCTTTGTTTCTTTTTCTTTTCTTTTGAGGGGGGGATATTTCCAGCTCTTACCACAGTGCCTGAAGGAGACCAGGACAGGCCTCCTGCCTTTGGCCCAAGTCTTGAAGGGATCCTTAGAGGCAGAGGTGAGGACAGGGAGCACTCCAGGCCTGGAGGGTCCCCAGTGCAGAGGTGCAGAGCTGTGTGTGTGAGGGACATCAAGGGGGGCAGTACGGTTGAACCCCACCCTGCGGTGTGTGAAGGACAGTAATATGTCAGCAGAATGGAGGGGTAGGAAGGAGCCAGGCTGAG